AAAAAAACCTTGCGTCATTCGTTCATGGGAAAACATGCGATGACATACATTGCAACTAAACCAAAATAGATTCACCGATTTACCACATCGAAAGCGTCACGACGAACGCAAAGGAGTTGACATAGACCAGCTTCCTCAGTTCGTGACGGGTCCGACCCTTTTCACAGGCCTGGTCATGTGACCGAACCAACTGGGATCTCAAGGTCCGTCGAAGAACCAGGGAGGACCTCACTGTTCTCTTTTTTTTGGATAGACGTTCTTCTCTTTTGGATAGACGTTGAGACAAGTTTTCCAAGTCTCCTCCGACAAATGTTGAAGGGAGTGTTTGATAGGTGTCTTGAGAGTCATTTGCTTGAACCATCTTCCGAAAACCCCTGGAGCCCCTTGGGTTGCCCAGTACTCAGCACTGCCATCATCTACTCTGTTCACAGCCCTCCCGACGACTTTATGCTGCACGGAACAAAACAAAGGTCTATTGCAAACCTTTCGTTACGCGAAAACCTCTTGGTTGTAATATGCGGAACGAAAGGTTATTTCATTTACTTGAGGCCATCTGTTGGGCAGACCTCTCGTTCCCGGCGACACTGCAGACCTCTCGTCGTAGAACTTCGTGAGGTTGTTCTTGGGCACATAACCTTCACGACTTCGGAGACCGAAGACGTCTAGGACGGGGCAAACTGGGGGGGGAGGCAAACGCAGACCGGAGCTGTTTGTTTCTTTTTTGGTGCCCCATCTACCTTAAGAGCAGTTCCTGCAAAAGACTCTAGCCGCCAGACATCAGTGGCTGGTACCATAGACACATCATCAACACCATGTTGGGAAAATAATATACAAGAACAATATAAGATATCTATCACAACTCTCAGTACGTGACGTCTACTCCAAAAGCAGGAGACACACCTGAGCTGACCAGTTCACTTGGTAGAACCGCCCAGGTGGGTTCCACCGTCGGATGGCACCTCCCCACCGGTCACCACGGTGTCCGCCGTGCGCCGCGCGGCAGGCTCGGCGTCCCGACCCACGAGGCTGGCGTTTCGGAAGGCCGCCTTGAACCGTTGGGGGAAGGTGAGGACGTTGCCTGTAAGGTTTTTTGTGCACAAAGGACGTTCTGGGTGAAGAAGTTTTGCGGACTTTTTTGCTCTGACTGTGGAGATCCGTGGCCTATTCCGTGGTAATAGCATTCATTATATCTCATTAGTACACGCTCTTCGGACGATTACTACTACTCCGTCATGAAACTCCTGGAGGCTTCCATCAGGATCCATCCTTGAGGTAACACCTGGTGGGTCAGGGAGCTGCTGGTCTTGGGAAGGTCGAGCCCACAGCTTCATGAGGCGCCAAATCCAACCAAAACCTCCTAACACCTCAGTGACCAGGTAATGCTTTAAATAAGAAGCAAACCCACATGTGGATGGCTCTCCAGATGAAACATGCACCATGAAGCCATGCATCCAGCAAGCCCAGAGGTCCTTTCTTAAAAGACGGCGACCGGAGACCAAGACCGAGACCCAGATCCGACAACGCTTCGGTCTCTCCGTGTCTCCCGGGCCCGTAGCATGGTCATCTGACCCAGTGCCGGGCTGGACCTGAGGCGCTGCACCGGACGGGAGGAAGGGCCTTCTCTCTGACAGCGTGCCTGCTGTCATTGTAAGAATATGAGGTGAAAAGCAGGTGCTTGGCCAAACCGCTCAAGTTCTGTTTCTTGTTTCACTCTAGGAGATGTGACCTCTCGGATGTTTGGATGAGAGCACCCAGATTGCTCCTCCTAGTTCGAGGAAAGACCCTCAACGCACTCGTTCGGCTCGGCGCCTTTGGGACCCTTAAGCCAACTGGAAAAACAGAAAAACATCAGAAAACCAGTCCCTTCGCGTCTCTTCTTGGTCAAACCTGCGAGGCAACCGGCATCGCCCGGCGGCGCCACCCGGCAGCGCCACCGGGACCGCGTCCCGGACGTGTAGTTGCCGCAGGTGCTGCACACGCCGAAGGAAAACCTGGGACCCCGCAGAGGCGCCGAACTAGAAGGTCTCCCTACTACTATTGCAAGCTCCACCACCCTCAAGGAGGTCCATTATCTGTGCGATCGGTTTGTGAAAAGTGGAGGACTTGAGCGGTGTTTTGGCCCGGACACGGATGGCCGTGGCCCTTCTTCCAAACGCCCTGTCTCCCCACCGCTCGCCCCACCCGACCGTTCCTTCACCCGTTTCTTCGCCCCCGGGCGCCACCGTGAAGTTGATGCCTGGCTGCCGTGGCCCGGCCGTGGGGCCGTGGGACCGGAGGGGCGAAGCCGTCGGACAGTTCGCCAGTGGCTTTGGGGGGGGCGTTTTTAGATGGAGAAGCAGGACGACGCGTGTTCTCCACGGGTGGTGTTTGCGGGGGCCAAGGTGAAATGGTGGGGAAGGTGGTCGTTCTGCTGGTCGTTCTTGGAAGGACGCTGTAGACCGAGCGTCTGGGCAGGTCTCTGGACGTTTGACCAGTCGGACCAGCCCAACCGGCCGTCCTGGTCCAACCGGAGGTGTCCCAAAATCGGACTCGGACTTCAGTGGACCGGGTTCCGTTTCAAGGTCCCCGATGCCACGAACGTCGACGACCGGAGATGACCGAGAGGAAGAGCGATGTCCGTGGGCGCGCAAGGACGACGATGCTTTTCAGATCTGCTTCGGTGGCCAGTGTCTGAGCCACCAAGGTGTTGGACGGTCCACCCCGAAATCCGTCAGGACAACGAAATCCGTGAGACCGCCCAGTCTGTTGCATGACTTTGCATGCGAGTTGTCGCATGGACAAGAAATTGAACAAGAAAGAGCTACACCTTCAGCACAGCTGTTTGACTAGAAATTTTGTGTGAAACTAGCTGGTGGCTGTGACCTTTAGAGGATTGAACACTCTGCGCAAGCATTCTGCTTTGCCTCACTCTCAGTCTGAATCTCAACAGGAGGAACCTCCTCGTCCTTCTCTTTCAGCTCCTGCTTCAGTTCATCTTGAAGCTCTTTCACTTCCCAGTGCTCAGCTTTTACCATTAAGCGTCCATAGTATTCCTTCTCTGTGTCGTTGAAACTCGCATAGCCTTCGGTCATCTTCTTTTCCATCAAACGCTTCAGGGTTCCCTGCTCCGCCGGGTACAACCCTCCCAACATGCTACAGAAGTGACTAAAACGAAAGCTTCGCGCAGTCCTTTGCTTGAGCCAAAAACATCTTGATTCAGTTCGAAGCTTCTTGGAACTGCACGACCCGTGTGTGTGTTCTTCACAACGCAGCAGTGCTTGGCTGGTGCTCATGCCCAACAGGTGTGGATTCTTTTCCCAGGGCCTGAGCATCCCTGCTTCCGGTAGACTCATTATAACAGGTTCTCTGGGCCTGGTCCGCCCAAACAGCTCGAACTTTCAGAAGTCACATGGAAAGGGCTGGTCTTTGGCTCGTCCCCATCCAGCCGCGGATGTGATGTGATGTGACCGGGGGCACCCCCAAAAAAGAATCCTCCCGTTCGGAACCGGCTGGAAGGACGGGGTGGAACAAAACCCAAGGCGCTGGAGGCGCTCGAACCGGCGCGTCCAAGTTCTCGTTGCTTTCGGAAGGCCTGGGCCGGTGAGGTTCATGGACTTCTCAGCATCCAACCTCGGAAGGACTTGGGAGGTTTTGGTAGGACTTGGGAGCTTGGACTTTGGAGGATTTGGACAGAAAGAACCGTTGTTTTCTGGGGAGAAGAACGTGAAGAACACCTTGAACAACGGCGCGTATCTTGATCGGAACCTGCAATGAGCTTTGTGAGACGAGGAACACCACGGAGCAGGAGCCCTTTTGAACTTTCGGGTAAACACTCAAAGGACTCTTTTTGGATCTTTTGGGTGGTGTGAAAAGCAATCCAGTTCGGTTCTATATATGTTCTATGTTTTTTGGCATGCCCCAAAGAGAGCCCCAGTCACCGCACCTTTTCGGAGACACCAGCAGCACCACCCTCGCGGCCGAGGCACATGGCGTCGACGGCGCTGAGGATGCCCCGACAAAAGCTGACCGGCGCATGCATGCCCGGCCTGGAACGACGGAGAGGCGGGAAGTGCGGAGTGCCGGAGCGTGCCGGGTCACGTGCCGGGTCGGACGCTGGTGACGATGGAACTTCGTGAAACGACGTCTGCGCCACGACGATGTCTGGTGCGGAAAGGTGGAAAGGAATCGAAGAACATCATCTTCCGAGGCCTGGACATCTCCCCCCCCTCCAAGCCCTCCGGACCTGCGACGACGCCGGACATCGGCTCGCTCTACGCGCGTCGGCTCGGCTCCCAAAGCCCCTCTGGGTGGCCCGGGCAACTTGAGGTCGGGCTCGTTGATGACGATCAACTCTCGTAGAGCTGGATGGTATCGCCCTGCAAGATCTGCAGTGTTAACGTGAGATGGAATGGCTTGCCCCTCACTTCATTTCTTCACCTCCCCCAAAAACCTTCCTACAACACACCATTCATTCCAGTGGCCCATGCCTTGGCCTTAAGAGGTCTCCTTAACCGGCGGTGTCCGCGGAGGGCACGGCGCAGCGGCGGTGCACGCCTTCTCGTAGAAAGCCCTTTTGAAGGAGCTCTCGATAGGACTTCTTCACCTGTACCAGGCCCACAGCTTTCGGGGAACGAACGCGACCGCGAGCGGGAACGAACGCCCCTGGAAAAACCAAAACGAGGTCTGGGAAGCCGCGTTCTTAGCATCTCAAGATCCTTCCTCTTTCTTTCACCTATAAAGAAAAGGTGAGCAAGCCACTCAAAGGAAAAATCCATCCTCCGTCTCGCTATGGGTTTTAAACTCATGGTACTTATAGGATGTGTCCAAAAGCACTTGGTGAGACAAGCATCGTCTATAGCAGTTGATCGGTCCACATCCCGCGCCCCGACGCGTCGCGTCATGGGGTCCAGCCAACCTCATTATATGGTGGTTGAACTGGGAAGTCTCCAGGTGGTTGGAATACACATATGAGGTCTCCGCGCCCCTCATCCTTTGGAGCTCGCGAAACAACGGCTCGATGGACCCATGCGGACCGTGCGGACCGATCGGATGGGATGGTCGAGTCTCGGTTCCATCGATCGGAGCACCAAGACCGTTTCGGTTACCAGGACCTTCCACCAAGAGGTGTCGAAAAAAATAGCTGACTTTAGAGGTTAAGGGGCTGTCCAAAAACTACCTGGCTTGGTTTCGGCCCTGGTAGATGATTAGAAGTTTTTGAGGTGGCACGCCCATGTGAGTCATTCGATGTGTGGCTGACACGTCGAATCTATGCTCACCCACACCGTTCGGCCCCAAAAGGGCGAGTGGCCATCACTGTGTCCCAGATGTGGCATCTTCAGCGAGTGGCCATCTTCCCAGCTGTGGCCGTTTGAACACCTCAGCGCCCCTGAGCCTTTTGAACCACCCACCTTTGGACCTGGCATGCGGCCCATCCACACGGTCCGCAAGGCGGAGACTCGGATCGAGCTCCGACTCCGATCCGCCTGGGCGTAGCAGTTGAAGTCCGTGGTCAGGCAGTTCTCGGGGCTTTGGATGAAGTCGTAGTCGCTCAGACCTCGGGCACCACGCATTCAGCAGCTGGTTTGCGTCACCGCCCGCCCTTAGCAGAGACAAAATGATACACAAACGCCATGCGTGGACAGATGCGCTCTGTGCTTTCTTCTTCTGATGGACCATGCAAAAACGCCCCCGCCCCGCTCCACGAAAGAGTGTGACCTCATCTCGTGGGTTAGTTGCTTTTAGCTGTGAGATGAAGTTGGGATGTCCTTCAGATCTAAAAACCTGCTTGACATGTTGGGCAAACCAGAGCAGAAACCATCCCAAATTCCATCCTCATCCTCCTTCCAGCCGCTGAAACCGAACTCCCCCCCCCAGTCCCTCATCCGACTTCTTACCGGGGGCCTGGAATCACTCGAAGGCCCAGCTCCTGCGTTCCGGCAAGAAGCAAGAAGCAGGGACGGGCTGCTGCCTCCAGGGTGGTCACAGGTGGGACCTCTTCCCACGCCGCCGAACCCCTAAAAGAAACCCCTCCCCGAAAGGAAGCCTCTGGACGTAGCCACCCCTTCGAACCCCGTCGTAGCTTGGCACCGGGGGGAGGCGTGCAAAACCGCAAAGCCGAAGAAGATGTGCGCCGCGAACCATGCACCTCGGCTTCATCCAAAAAGTCTCGGTGCGTGTTCTCCGGGTTGTTGCCATAGAGACCTCGGTCCGGAGGAGACCAAAGCGCTGCGATGACGCAGGGCCAGACGGTCAAGGGAACAGGTCGTTCCGCACATATTTTTTGAGGAGCAAAGGTCCGATCGTTCTCTCCTACCCTGCGAACATTCTATCTCGTCACTTGTCACTGAATGCCTCCGCTACTCTTGTTCGCCAGTTTTGCCCAAAAGATGTCCAGCCAAAAACAAACACACTACCAGCAGTTCCATGTCGGGTTTATTGCAGGATAGGGGTGCCCAAGTCCAATGCTCCACTCACTGGATGGGACTACAAAAAGAACCATGGAACTCCATGGTTCTATGACGTGTCCATCAACTCCCGCATGGTTCTTTGAACGACCATGGAGTTTAGACCCGGTCTGTCGATGTCCTTTGCCGGTCGGTCCCCGGACGCACAGCATTGGCGCCCAGCTGACGGATCACCTGGACAGGCGAGACGCCGCCGATCACGCCGAGGCCTTTGAAGTAGAGGGACACAAGAGTCAGACTGGCATCATCAAGGGCCCCGTTCGTAGCTTTTTTGTTACGTTCGTAGCAAGAATGCTCCGTTCGTAGCGAGGCCAGGAGCCCCGTTCGTAGCGTCCTTGCTAGTAGTAAGGCCAGGAGCCCCGAACGTAGCTTCTTGCCCCTAGTAGAGGGAAACAACAGTGGACCTTTCTCTCCAGCGAAATGGTCCATCTTTGGCATCAAGCCACAAAAACCGCGCAATGACTTCCACCATTTTCCACCAACCATATGATCCGATATGAAAAACCAAACCGAAAGTGTCCATTGACTCCAAAGAAGGTCCAAAGGTCTCCCGAGTCCGGCGAAGCAGGGCGATTTTTTAGGGTGCAAAACCACCGGTTGACTCCGGCTGCAAACATGAGATATATCGACCGACACTTTAAACATACAAGCGAGACGAAGACGAAGAATCCCAAGCTACAACTGCAAAATAGTGGAAGAACGGAAGAACATCTCATGATGCCTTCAACAGAACACTCACTTCCCTCCCACCACCCAGCGGACGACGTTATGACTTCAATGAGGCTCTTGAAGAAACCGTACCCAAACAAACAAGTACGAGTACATACTCTTTCTCAAGCTTTACATCTGCATTGTTGCGCTGGGACACCAAATCCGTTCCGGTCATGCTTCCCGGCCTCGAGATCTCCTCGGCCCCTGGCGCCCCACCTGTGTGGCCGGTTGCGCAAATGGCACGATGGCTGCTTTGGATGACCTCTACACACAGCCGATTTTTCGATGTTCATGATGATTCCAGCGAATCTAGGATACTTCTTCTTCTCTTCTTGTTGGGCCGAAGACCCCCAAAAGGAGCGATGCTGATGCGAAGCTTCCGGAACAAGCTCCAATGTCAAAAAGTGAAAACCGACCGGACTGGAGCGGAGGATCGTTTTAAACCATGGTCGGTCGGGGTACGCCATTCACCAGCTTTTTCCGGCGCGGAGACCTTGATCCATCCGTCCAGGTAGGAACCCGTTGGATCATTCATCCACCATCAACATTGGCCCTCAAAAAAGGCGACCATGTTCAACCATTTTTTCAACGATTTCTGTCCATTTTCAAAATTTTTTCGGACAACCTGGTGACCCAAGTCCGAATTGGACTCCAAACATTCCGAATTGGCGGCCCAAGCTCATCGAACTGGACTTCTACAAAAAGTACATGACGAATCATCCTCCACTCTCCCTACCTACCTAAACCTGGAGAAAATGATCGATCCATTTTTGCCAATCAGACCTGGAGCGTTTTTCTCTTCGACTCCTCTGACTCTTGGCCCCCATAATCCCCACATCCACTGGGAGCCCCTTCATGGGCTTCGCGGACTGCGAGAAGAAATCGTCCTGCGGCTGCATCACAGAGAGTCACAGCGGAGCCACGGATGCGCATCTGCCTCTCATCGGTCACCATCGCCTCTCCCTGTACGGGTCACCAATGGTTCCACCGACCTAGGCATGGGTCGTTCCAAAGTCTCAACGAAATTTCCTGGCGGTACTGGTAGAAGCTACACTCTTGCATATTGGGTAGAGTAGGTATCCCAGACCAAAATAGGATGTCCAAGATCCTCATCATTCCTGATGCTCTTGTCCCATCCACGCGGATCTGGGTGTTCCCCCCCAGGGCCGTCGGTCCTGACTGACCCAGCAGGGCTCTTTACATGGCATGGGCCTCAGGCTGAAGGCGGTTTTCTTGGGGCTCAGTGCATGAAGACACATTGGGGAAGCTTCTACACAAATCCCACCTGATCATTGTTGAATTCCTCAAAAACCACCCGTTTTCACGCCCTCTGTTTCAGTGAAAGGTGATAAAATCACACACCCCTCCAAGGATCGTCAGGCTTTTTGGGTCCAGAAGTTCGTCCAGAAGCACCACCGAAACCGGTCCACCTCCGCTCACCGCCATCCGGTTCCGGTCCCCTCCAAGTGGGGACCGACCCCTCACGCGGTCACGCGCCACTTCGCTCGCGGAGAGTCTCTTGAGAGTCTCTTCACGCTTTCGCTGGCCCTTTTTGGCTGTGCTTGGGTGGATTTGTGAGAAGTCAGGGTGTGTGGCTCTCCCATCTGGTTTGCGACTTCAATGTGACTTCGGGGTTGTCACCCAGCTTTTCTTGGAGTCTTCTGAGGCGTTAAACACACAGTCCCAGCCTTCATCCCCCAAGTGGTTTCCAGTCTCAGAACCCCCCCACCGGAGCGCTCGGCCCGGCTTCGCCGGCGTGAAAACGGTGGGCGGTGCGCGGGGCTCCAGGCCCATAGCTGATGCCCTTTACAACCTCCCGAGGCTGCGGCCTCAAAGAGGACGGAAAAGAGGACGAAAATGGACGAACGGCCAACGCGGACGCGGACGGCATCTGTTGGTGTCGAAAAACGATGGACTCAGCGGATGGTGCGTTGCACCAAGGGGTTGCCGGAGGATGGTCTAGTCTAAACTGACTCTTTACTGCAGCGAGACTGGGGAATTGTACAAAGACAGAAGAAAGACCCAAACGCCATGCCTGTCTTCTAGATCCAGGCACATGAGACACGAGACAAGTGAAAGAAAAAGCTTCCGCACCATCCAGACTATCCATGCTTTTGATTGATTGGTTCGTCCAGGTTCATCACACGCCAGGCTCTAGTCAAGGCGTTAGTCTTCCCCTGAGAGCTCCCGCGGTGTGCCGGATGGCTCGCCAAGCGCAAGCCTGGCCACAGCTGGGTGGAGTGCGACGTGCGACACACGCACAGCTTCTGCTGCAACACTCTGCACTCGATCGGCTCGTTGCACTGCAACACTATGCAGGGCGCTCGGTAGAAGGGGCAGTATACCATTCAACAGTGTCACCACAATCCAACCAGTGGCTCGAGCATGATCTATGACCCATCGCCAGCTTCAAAGTGCTCTGCAGGAGGTGCCACAAAAAGTGGTGGTGTTGAGGTAGCAAGGCCGGCAACCGAGGTCCGGCAACAAACGAAGCACGGCACGCGAACGCGCGCCACCCGCAGCGCTTTTCAGCGCACAAGTCCCTCCCTTGAGCGGAAGGACACGGTCGGTCGAAACATGGAAAACACTCTCAACCACTTCATGTGCAATGCACAGCGTGCAATTGTCATGGGGGAGAAGCTATCGCGCCGTAGCGCGTGGCATGAGCCTGCAGCCAATTTTGGATGGAGACCCTTAAGGTGTATCCTCCTGGCTGAGCTGGTGCCGTGACGTAGTCGGGAGGCAGAACTCGTCCACTGCAAAGTTCACAGTGGAAGTACTCATCCTGCATCCGGACATCCCTGCCCGCTAAACTGCTGCATTCTGCAGTCAAATGAAAGCGGCGGCCTCTCCTGCAAATCAGGACTCCGCGCTGCAAAGGGCACTCAGCTCGGTGGTTGTCCATCTCTCGGACACAGGCTCTCAAAAGCGCCGCACCCAGCGCAAGCAGCTGGTTGGACATGCAGCTTTCTTCCAGGATCAAATTGAGCGATCTCTGGAATTCGTCCGCGGCTCTCTGCGCCTCCATGGCTTTCAGCTCCATGGTGTTCAGCTCACCTTGAAGCCTCTTGTTCTCAAGACGAAGGCGGTGAGGGACCAAGGCTTCTTCCTTTTGAACCCCGATCTCTGCAGTGGTGACCTGGGTTCGTCCAACGCTCCAGCGACCGAGCAAAAACATAGTGCTCAGCAGCAAACAGATGGCGGTGGTGAAGATGAGCTCAAACATGCCAGCTCCCGTCTCCATGGTTTCTTCTTCGGTGGCAGCTGCCACTTGTGGTAAAAAGAAACACATCATGACCATGAAAAACTTCAGGGGGTTGCCAGTGACAATGGACATGAGGTGCCATGGCTCGACATGGCTCGGACCGGCCCGGGAGACATACGTGAGCACTCCATTGGTGTGGGCCAAGTAGCCAGCCAGTTGGTGCTCGGTGTTCATCTCATAGTTCTCCTCGGGGAAGTGGCTGTCCAAAGGAAACTCATGCTTCCCAACTTCAACTTCACTTTCATGGCCAGGCGAAGGCGCCGGCCTCAACTTCACAGGGCTGCTGGCGGTCGTGCTCTCCTGCAAGCTTGCTTGGAGCTCTTCTTTTGTTTTCTTCTTTGCAGCCTTGTAGTGAGGATCCCAGGTCAGCTTCAGCTGTCCATATCGAAGACGTTGAGCCAGGAGCGTTCTCGCGCTCTCCTTTGTGAGGCCATCAGCCATTTGGCGCTCCGAAGACATCCAGCGAAGGCTGCCGCCCAGAGACAGAAGGCGCTCCTTCATGACCCGCACCTCCAAGGACACTCGTTTGTCCGCAACTGAGCTGCCGACACCTTCTCGGTGAAATGAATCGTACAAAGCCTTGGCGTCGGTCACCATGGTGGGCTCCAGAGGACACGCAGCTTCCAACAACTCTTTCAGAGGTCGGCGAGGATCAAGGAGGTGGTTCCAGTAGACGCACACATTCTCCAGGGCGTCACATGCTTGGCCTCCGGCCTGAGCTTCTGCTCCCAAGGAGGAGCGAGCCACACGTGGAGTCTTAAGGCTCCTCCAGTCCAGCACGTGGTAGGCACCTTCGGGGCCGTTATGCTGCAACAACTCCTTGTTGATCATCAAGATGATGTAGCCAGCTTGTGAGCTGCCATCTGAACGTGTTGCAAAAGCAGCATCAAAGAAACACAGCACTCGCAGCTGGTTCAGTGAACCAAGATGCTCATAGCAAAGCCCAACATCGGAGTTGTCCTTGGCGAACTTGAGAAGGCGATTGCTGTCAGCCACAGTCTGCAAGGTGGCTCGTGTCACTTGGCCGCTCAAGATGGAGGTGCTTCCTTGTAGGTGAGGACTGGATTGAGTGGCAGGCCACTGCAACGAGCCCAGCAAACCACGGAGTTGTGTCATCTCGCTCTCACTGAGAGATTCTGTGAGGTCTCTCTTCTTGTCATAGGCGATGGGCTTGACCTTCTTCATGTAGGCCGTTTGGTCCAGGACATGGCCTCCATTGGAGCTCGGCTTGATGTCACAGCCACAGTAGGTCAGGGCATCGTGACCTTCATCGGTCTTCCACTCACGGAAGGTGAAGGTATTCTTGAGCTTTGCAATGGTGTCCAGGTAGCACTTGGAGTCGGAGGATCCACATCCCAACATATCATCAACATGCATGATGATCATGCCACACACGCCAAAGCTTCCCAGAAGGTGAGGTGAGACTGCATCAAAGTCAAAGTCCGGGTTGAGGTCACCTTCGCAAATCAGGAAGCAGCAAGGATCCAGTGGGTGTTGTCTCAGACCCATGGCACGCAGCTTCTCCACAGCAGCCAGATACCATGCTCGAGGAGCGTCGATCTGGCCATAGCAAGGCTTCAGCAGAAGCATCTTGGTCTCAGGACCAGCGCCCAACAATTGGAGGCATTCAGCAGGAAGTTGGACCCAAAGCTTGCGTGCTTGAGGTTTTCCTTGCAGGAAGGCGGTGGAGATGTCTGAAGTCCAAACCCCCCAGGACATAGTGGCGGCTAAACTCAGCAAGACGGACCGGGACAGCCTCGTGGTTGTTGGTGATGAAGTCGGGACTGTTCCATCCCAGGCGTCCGGATCTTGGAATCCGCGCACGATGAGGCGTGCTTTTGCCCGTGGGGACCCGTCAGCGTGCTTCGACCATTTCAGCAACATTCTGCTGGTCAGTGTTCTTGAGGGCTGAGCTTCTCGGCTTGTTTCGAAGGCCCAGACATTGTTGTCAAAGAAGGACTGTAGTTCTTTCACCTTCGCAGCTTTGAACATGGCACGTTCGTCGGGCGTCATTGTCCGCTCGGACAAGGTGTTGGCACTCTTGTTCATCTTCTTGTGGTCCTTGGTGTGCTTTTGCTTGACCATCTTTCCTACTTGTCGTGCTCCATGAAGTGGTGCCTTGGCATACATGGCATACTCCTTGCGAACGGAGCCCTTGATCTGGAAGATCGTTGCACCTGTCCATGAGGTGGTGCTAGGTGGCTTGGTGCATGTGCCATCATCGGTGGTCTGTGAGCATCGGCCATTGTTCTCATAGATCACTGTCACCCGAACATTGTCCAAATCGTGTACAGAGAAGGGTGCATCATCAGGCAGCTGCTGCAGGCTCATCTTGTGCCTCCGTGGAACACAGTGGTGGCGTATCAAACATCCAGCACGGACTTCCCAGTAGTCACGCTCCCTTTTCTCAAGCTCAAAGTAGCCATTGCGGAAATACCATCCGCTGGGCAGGGCATTGGTGTCAATGGAGGTCACCTGAAATGCCTGAGACATGAGAGCTTGTTCTTCTGCCTCTCCTGGTTGTAGTGGAGCTGGCGGAGGTGCAGCTGGTGCCTTTGGGATAGCCTCAGGGCTAGGCGCTCACTGGGTTCTCGTGATCCATAAGGTGTGTCCGCCACTCGCCGGTTGCGAATGGGACCAAAGGAAATGGTCTCCTGCAAATTGAAGCGAGCCCGTCGCTGCTGAAAGGTCTCTGTCTCGATGTCATGAGGTTGATACAGCGAGGCAGTTGCAGGATCCAAGGCCATCGGTGACTCAGGAGGCAGATGAAGATCTCCATGAGGAGTAGGGATGGCAGGCTCTTCACTGGGTTCCGCAGCAGTGCTTGGCGGTCGTGATCTCGAGTGTCTGGACACTGGAGACTGTGGTGGACTTTGGGGCACTGGCACTTGTGCCACATCAGCTGGTTGTGGTGCATCAGGTGGTACTCGTGGTGATGTGGGTGCATGTCCAGAGTGTGCCGGTGAGGTCGGCGTGTAGTCGCCACCATCGTCATCAGCCAGGGTGTCCGGCTGTGCTGGTGCTGCAGGTGGTTCAAGTCGGAGTCGATGTCGTGGTGGCTCATCAGGGTCACCATCATGTTCATCAAAAGAGCCATCGGCCTCATCCTTCATTTCATCTTCATCAACATCATCTAACTGCTGTCGGTTGACGCGTCGAAGGTCAAAGTACCTGGTGACGCCGCGAGACTTCAGCTGTCGAACCTGGTTCGTGGCAGTCTGTAGGTCGTCCAACAGATGTTGAGGTCCAAGGATGTCGGCTCGAACATGATGTGGTGCTGCTCGAATGAGTTGAGTCTTGTAAGCCAACCAGTAAAGCTTGACCCGTTGGACCTTGTCATTGGTCTCCTCCTCCCTCAACACCACATAGGCGGGACCAAGCCAGCGAATCTTGTTGAGCAGACCTTGGCGTGCATCTCTCCAGAACCAGACACGTTCACCAACTTTGAACTCTCGATTCTGGCCTTGGTAGCGACGGCCAAGAGCACGGCGTAGCTTGTCATCAGCGTCAGCTGTGGTCAAAGCTACCTTGGCGGCTGTTCTGCGCTCCAGGATGTGCTCGAAGGTCCGATTGTTGCCAGCCAGTTGAGATGGATTCAAGTTGGAACTCAGGAGATGTGCTGCTTCAGGTTGATAGCCAAGGACCCATTGGCTTGGTGAGAAGCCTGCCACAGTAGGAGTGGCATTCTGTTGTGGGATGACATAGGTCAACGCTTCACGGATGCCGCTGCGATCATGAAGTTTGCGGTCATCCAGGTAGATCTCACATGCTTTTCTGATGACGGCGTGTCGCCGTTCCAGCAGGGCTAGGCGTTCATGAGCTTGCCCAGGTGCAACTTGGTGGTCTATGCCATGAGCACTCGTCCAGTTGTCGAAGATGCCGCTCAGCCAGGGTCGTCCTTATCAGTGATGAGCTGTCGGGGTGCACCAAAATGTCGCAACCACATCTTTTCCAAGGCCTGAATGTAGGACTCAGAGGTCTCATCGGTGAGAAGGTAGCAGGCCATGTATCTGGTGCCAACATCGACAAGGCTCATGATGGAGAACTTGGTGTCCTGGCGCTTGATGTAGAACACATCAGCTTGGAGAGCATCGTTGAACTCTCTTGTGGTGGGCATAGTTGAAGGAGCACTCTGATTGGGCTTTCGATGCTTAAGGCAGGCCACGCACTTGTAGGCTCGCGCAGCGTTGATCACTGCTTCTGGGGCACCACGGGCGGCAAGCAGATCACCCAGGGCATCAGGTGTTGGATGACCCAGATTGCGATGAAGTCGTTGCACAACTCGAAGACGGCAAGATGTTCCACGTGGAGCTTAGACAAGTGTCCAAGTGGCTTGCTCATGTTCTCATCATCCACAGTGTACGCCCATTCCCAGGCGTGAGGAGCTTCAGGAACCATCAAGGCTGCTGCAAGTGTCGAAGCGAAGCCGGGCTGGTAGTTCTCGAGGTACGACGTTCGAGGACCGAGGCCAGGTGCATGGCCTTCCAGTGGACAATGCTCATGGTCATGAGGACACTGCAGCGTGAAGGCCTCAGCGATGGCTTTCTTCGTAGTTTGAAACCTGGTGCCCTTTTGTACTGGCTTCCAAATGCCATCGACATCCAAACACATAGCTCCATAACAGCACTGGTCGAAGCTGACTGCGAAGCCAGGTAGATCACGCAAAGCACCAGTTTTCCAGCTCAGGGCATGTCGCGGTTGTTCAACAGTGGCGTGTCGCCCATTCTTGACCTGAGTGAGGTAACTTCGACGAACGAAGCGAAGGTGCCGTCGATGGTGGTGATCTCGACGTGCTTGTAGTGCTTCTTGTTGTGCAGGTGTTCGGCAGGCCAGTGTCTGCATGCGAGACCAGAGGCGACATTCAGGAGCCATCAACAATTCGTCAGGTTGTTCTTCATCAAGTCGGGCCAGGAATTGCTGTTGGTGCTTGATCAAGTTGAAGTCCCAGCCATTGTCAAGGCTGAAGGTTTCCACTCTCATGCCCAAGGATTCGGCGATGGAGGAAGTGCGGGCTTTACCAGTGTACACTTCCCAAAGCACTCGCCGTTGGTCTTGTGGTTCATGAAGGGACTGCGTGATGAGGTTCTCAGCCTCGGTGACTCGGGCGGTCAGTGCAAGCTCCATGGTGCGAAGAGCATGGCGAGGCAATCGGCTGGTGTCCAGCTCATCCTTGAGTTCATACTCCTCGGCCGTGAACACATGCTCGGCAGCATTGAAGTCAGGCAGATAGAGAGCACTGCCAGGCACTTCCTCAGCGATGTGAAGGGCAAAGAGGCCCTTGGTTGGGTCAGTCTGCCATTCCATGCCCTCAGTGAGCGACATCAGGTATTCGCCATGTCTGCCAACCAGAACCGGCTGCCAGGGCGAAGTGCCAAAGCGCAGCATGCGACCACTGACGTCAATGCTCATGTGGAGAGCTTCGATGACTGGGCGACCCATCAACATAGGCGTGTTGCCCGGTACCAAGTAGCACTGGATTGTGCCCAGCTGACCATCAACCGTCACAGGCAGGTCGACCGTCCATCGAGCTTGGGCTGATGCATCACCTCCAAACTGAAAGCGACGCTCGCATCGAGCAAAGCGAATCTGGTTCACAGGATAGCCCAGCTCCTCCAAATGCTTGACGTAGCGCACGAAGGGGCCATAGCCACTCAAGAATGCAGAAGCTCCAGGGTCCAGCATGGTGGCGTCAACACGTTCAGCTCCATACTCATCTTGGAAGAGGACAAGAGCTTCTTCAGACTTCAAAGCCATACCCTCAGTAGAGCCAGGTGCAGGTCTCTTGTTTGAGGAGGTCGGTGAAGAGGACTTCGCATTCTGAGGACAGTTTGCAGCCCAGTGGCCAGGTTGGCCGCACCTCAAACAGTTGGTGGCTTTCGCACGTCCACGAGGATCAGCATCTTTGGCCGCAGTGTAGGGATAGCGGACCACATTCTGACCCTTCCCTTTCTTTGACTTGCCCTTGCTTTTGTTCTTGCCCTTTCCTTTGGAACCACTTGGGACAGGACCAGCACCGATGGGGACCGTGGTCTGGTTGTCAGTCAGCGCCACGACGGGCATGAAGCCTCGAGCCATCTTCAACTGTTGAAATCGTTGTCGGGCGTCCAAGTACGTGGCATAGGCATGGTCGTAGGTGCTGGCAAGTTCAGCTGGCTCATCATCCAATGGGGTTGACTTGTCATAGTCATGTTCTTCAAGTTCCCCATAGTAGCCAGCGTTGACATCGAATTCGGGGTCGTCCCCATAGTCTTCATAGTCAGGCTCAGGTGCCCAATCATCCTCACCCCAGTAGCCCTCCTCATAGGCGTCCCAGGCTTCAGGATCCTCCTCCATGGCCGCATAGCCGCGACCCTTCCAGCGAGAAAAACGCTTGTCCTTCTCTGGTGCCCAGCCTCCAGCTTTGTAGTCCTGACCGAAGAGCAGGTAGATGGCCTCTATGACGTTGTTCTTCTCAAGGGTTGGTGCCTTCAGGGTCACCAGCTGGCGCTGTTCACGAGATAGGCCAGCTCGTCTCAAGAGATGCCATCCTTGAACTGCAGCGGGCAAAGTCACCTTGTGTCGGTTCAGGCGTCTGTAGGCCTCATCGTAGTCGGTGACATAGGCCAAGAGACTCTGCTGGGGCTTTCGCTGGAGTGTCACGAAGTAGAACTCGAAGTCGTTGGGGAGGGTGACACTGTCATCATACTCATAGTTCTGATCCAGCTTGGCGAGGATCTTGGAGAAGGAGTCCTCTTTCTCAGCATCTTCAACTGAGAAATCCTCAAAGAGGCGCCAGGTCACGCCTTGAAAGCTTCCGAGGATGTTGAGGATGGACTCACCTGTCCGCTTGCTGAGCTGCATCTTCTTGTGGTATAAGCTCAGCCTCTTGCGATACTCTCGGTAGTCGCTTGGTTGGCCTGAGAAGACCGGGACATAGGAGTCGCGCAGGTTGTAGAGCTCGGAGGTCTCTTTCACTTCTGCTGCCTGCGTCGGCATTCTTCTTCAAGTAGGTGGTCGTTGACCGGAAGCGCTCAACAAACGGGGCAATGAAGAGCTCGGCAACGTGTTGGTGACGCGGGACTTCCGCAGAACCCCGTTGACCTCAAAGCGTAGATCGCAGAGCCCCGGAGGGCTCCGCTACCAATGTTGAGGTAGCAAGGCCGGCAACCGAGGTCCGGCAACAAACGAAGCACGGCACGCGAACGCGCGCCACCCGCAGCGCTTTTCAGCGCACAAGTCCCTCCCTTGAGCGGAAGGACACGGTCGGTCGAAACATGGAAAACACTCTCAACCACTTCATGACTGCAATGCGCAGCGTGCAATTGTCAGGTGGGAAAATTTAAAACACGATATAGAACACGTCTTTTTGCTTCCAACATTGGGCCATGTCACGGTCATTGTCACCATGTCTTCCGCCCAAAAAATGCTGTTTTTCCCTTCGGAGTGAGGCGCCTCACGAAGGCCAGAAGCACTCCTGGCACCGGAGCCCCGCGCTGGGTGCGGCGCGAACGATTGAAAGCAAAATGAATTTGGAGTTTGGTGCGGCGAAGAAAGGGCTCATATTCAAGGGGTTGAGTGCTCCTTCCAAACTCGAGCGAAAGAACATGAAAGAAGGCTCACACTAGATCTGGAGAAGGATGACGACCAAGATTACAAGATCATCCATTCCGTAGATCCCATTATTACCAGGTTTCAGTGGATGATGATGGCTAGGTTGCAGACCTTTGCCCCCCCCAAAATGATAGTGAGCCTCTTTGACCGACGGCTATACTGACTAACTGGTCCTTCTAGGCCAGAAACTCGGATCCTTCCTAATCACCCCCCAAGCCGAACCAACGAAGCTCCATCTCGTTTTGGGATCGGTCAGCGGCCTGCGAGTCGAGCCATGACCGCGACCTGCACGTCGGGAGTGAGGTCGGTGGGGGAACTACCCTCCACTACCGAGCAGCCCTCGTTGAGCAGCCCTCTGGTTGAGGACTCTTGGCAGCACCTCGTGGAAGCCTTCCCGGGCCATGATCGTGTCATGATCGTGTCACGCGCATGACGGAAAAAGAACACTGAGGTGGACAGTGGGACCTCGGGAGAAGAAGGCTGAGTGGGACCGCCCGAAATTGGGACCGGGTGACTCCATGTGGGTCTTTCTACAAACGTCCCTGGAAGTCCAAAGACTATACTTTCCCTCAGTGAAGTAAAGGACATTCCCTTTCAGATCCCATCAAGACCATTCTTTGTTTCGATCGATTGACTCTCAGGGCCTTGCTTTCGTTCGGCAAGGTCAACATCGATTGATCCCTCGGTCGAACGACCAACCCGAGACTCAGAGCACCAACAAAGCGGGAGAGGAGTGGGAGTGTTCATAGGTTCTGTCTTGGCTGCTTGGACGGGCGTCCTCAAAAAGGAACCAGCCTTAAAAGAAACCAAGCAGGACAACTCCCCCCAAACCTAAAGCCCTCGAAAAGGAAACCCCGACTTTGAAGAGACCTTTTGCACTAGAGTAGCAAGTGCAATCGTCTACTAGTAGCAAGAAAGCTACCAGAAGTAACAAGTGCATCGCTATTGGTAACAAGTGAAAACCCTATATGTCCTCCTCTCGGTTCCTCATCCCCTGACGCTTGACCCTCCGCATCGCCGGCGCCTTCTACATGCTGCGGCGAAGACACCCGTCCAGGGCCGGTCAACGAATGCTGCGGCCAACGTAACGGCAGCAGGAGCAGGTGGGATCAAAGGATTGCTCCTATAGTGAGGAGAAGGGAAAACACAAAGAGTGAGGGAGAGATCCAAAGAACAAAAAGCACATAACTCTTCTTCTTGATGTTGGATGGACAATACCTGGAAGACTTGAAACACTTTCCATTTCACTCCATCCCCACTCCCTCTTTCCATCCTGCCAACCCAACAACCACAGCTGCCCCTTCTTTTTGGGCCATTCCTCTCCGACCCCCGCCGCGGCTCAAAGCCAAAGCCCGTCGCGGCGCCTGAGCGGGTTGGCGGTCCAACTGGGCACTTTCGGTCCAACTGGGCGTGTTGAAACAGCGCAAGAGCGCCAAGGCAACCCCCCAAGCGAAGCATGATCGCTTGGTCCGGTCATGGCCGCTTGCCCCCCGAAGTCTGACTGGCAAATGGAAGGAGATGGACTCACCATCTCGGTGGTGTTGTCTCTATATTGTGCAACATCTCAGCTATCTCTTCGAACCTGGCACCGTTCATGTCCAATTGTCCTTTGTCATCCTTTGTCCGCAACAGCGGCGCTGTGGCACTGCCACGTTGGGCAGTGGACCACGCATCACACGACGTGCCCCACCGCCAAGCCGCCGCCTTAGTGCTTCGAGGTGCGGCACCGGGGAGTTCTGCACCGGAAGTGCTTCGCTGTAGAGACCTCGGGGTTTCTCGGGCGCGGCTTCACTGCGACCGGCGTTCGACGTTCGTTTGAATCTTCTCTCACAGCTCGGGAGAAGAACTTGGGGATGTGTCCAGATGTGTCGGTTGAACCTGGGGTTCTTCTGAGAAAGGACACGCTGTACTTGTCCTGCTACTTGTCCGGCGTGTTCCCTGCACTTGATCCCGAAGCAACTCCAACAACCATGTCGAAGCCAGTATTGAAGAGGACCCCCTCCGCGGTATCCAGAAGAACCTCCATGGAAAATGAAAGACCTTCCCCCAACGGTGAAGACCCACCAAGAACGGGGGACGCACAATAGGTCCACAGCTCCTCCCACCATCTCCGCATCGCTTCCCGCCTTCGGTGGGAAAGGTCGGCGCAGCTCCTCGGCATCCGCCGGTTCGGTGGCCGCTCGGGCTCCCCGGAAAAACTGCACCCACTGTTTTGGGATGGACGGCACGATTATGTCAAGATCGAGTGGCCTAGAGTGGCCGGAGAGTCAACCGACGTGTTTGCCTCGGTTGGTGGTGTCACACTTCGCCATGAACTTCCAAGATTCGAATATGGGTCTACACTTCATCCAAGTGATCCCCTTCCAAGGATCATATTTCTGAAATTTCTCCCGTCCACACAACGTCCCTGGGTGGCAACGTTCCACCCAATGAAAAACGAGGGTCCCGCAGGGCGGATGTGTTCATTTAGTGGAAGTCGTGTCTGAACATGTCTGAACCATCTCAGCTGGTTTATGTGATCTCCGGCTCTTTAGGAACTGTTATCTATACTATATAAATGGATTGATTGATGCCTGTGACTCTCACTCTGTTCTGGTATTAGAAAATATGGGTCTACACTTCATCCAAGTGAAGCTCCTCTCCTCCACCCAACGTCCGGTCACCTGGTCACCAGAGGTCTGTGGCCTCCATGGCATATATACTGGGTTTCATAGACTTGACATCTACGGCTTCAAACAGTATGTTCCCAGAGTCTTGCAACCCACTATAAACCCACTATTAAAACGATGCAACCCACTATAACAGGAATGAGGACCTCTTTTCAGCCGAGTTGTCAGCCCAGATGTAAAGGCCGGTAGACAAAACGATGAGTTTTCAGCCCGGTTTCGTCGAGGGGTTCTCATAGTTCTTTCCGACCAACTCAGTGTCCAACCTCAAACAAAAACAGGTTGAATCATGTTGAAATCGATCCAACAGACGAACAGCTTGCTCAACAAATCGATGCCAACAGTGGCACATGTCTGACAGAAGTAGCAGGTGTATTTCCAAAGGTGAAACGCTTCTGGATTGAACATCATGCGTTCACGTAGGCCCCTTCTGCAAGACACACTATACTTGATGCTCCACCCACTCACTATACAGAAAGTGACCACGCGCCTGGTGTCGGGCCGCATAGACCTTCAGCAAAGATCGCAAGCAAAATTGAATGGTCCAGGCGCGATCCTTGAACACCAAGGTCACGCAACGCGAGTGCGAACCCGGCAGGAGTCACTTTTTGAAGGAATGAAGCCATGGACCTTTTTCGTTGAAAAAACACATCACCTCTTTTCGTTCAAAACAGAACGCCCATTCCAATCAACTTGGATCTCCTCACGTCTGTGCTTGGGACCCTGACATTTTGGTGCTGGGACGAGCAAAAAATAACGCCGGCAAAGGATCACAGCTGATAGTCCTGGCATGGCGATCCGGGCACCGAGTCAGCAGCAGGCACCTGCCGTGTTTCTCTCAAACTTCTTTTCCTGAACTGAAAGGCAACGGGAGAGAGGATCAAACAACCTGATTCAAAAGTTCTAAGGCAGCTTCCGAAACTGAGATCTCCTCACTGAGAGGATGAGAACCACACAATCAGAAACAATCTTGTGATGTCTTCTTCATACGAACCTTTTGGATCAACATCTATATAACAATCATCTCTTTCTCCATCCAAAAGGGGGCCCTTCGGATGGCGTTTCGGCACGTTAGATCCACCCTCTCCGGACGTGGGAAGCTCGCTCGACCGCTTCCGAACCGAACCTCGGTCCCGAACCGAGCGGCACCACGCGACGCGGAGCGACAGAGCAGCGAAAGTGGCTGGTACCCGGATCTGGTGACGTCCCACACTGTGTGGTCAGTGTGGTCTGATCAGTCCCAACCTTCACCTTTGACAACATTGGAACCTTCGTTCCTTCCGAACCTTCGGCTTGATTAGCATGCTATATAGGTCGATGCCATCATAAACTGCATCCGTCACTAAGTTATGCATAATTACTTCATAGTTCTGAGATGTTCCGAGAAGTAAGTCGATTCAACATTGTCACCAACGGGTTCTTTGCGAACAGGCCTGACTACCCACGGCAATCAATCGAGCGGTGCAGAATCCCCTCAAGTCGAGAATGCTACGACGGTGTTCCTTCAATGTGTTTCTCCAAACAGCTCTCAACAGGATGCACCGGAAATCGCCATCCTCGGGTACCACCTGACTGATTGGTGGCCTGGTTGGAGGTGCCGCGGTTCGGATGAAGTCAGTGAAACCTGCCACGCAAACATTGTCCGAACGGACCGACCCATCGATTTCCTGCCTTCCGTGGAGAAAACACGAAGGACGGGAGAGTCGGAGTTGGCTCACGGAAGGCAGAGGGGAAGAGCGTCGCCTTTGACACACTTCACGTTCACATGATTTAACCCTTTATGGTCTTATGGTGTATTAACTAGTGGTTTGGGGTGGTGGGTCAGCTGGTCTGCACAGTTCACACACTTCCACAGGAGGCCAGGGCCTTCAGGGAAACCGTTCTTGGATTATCCCGGCAAGAGACCCCAAACAGTGTGTGTGAGGTCTGCAAGAAGACAGTCTAGAGATCTAGACGCATTGGGGTCCAGAGAGGTGATGGTGGTGATGAAGTGCAGGTGGGTGTGAGTGAGTGTGGGTGAGATGGAGTGTGAGTGTGAGTGAAAGTGGGAGAGTGAGTGTGGGTGCGAGTGTGAGTGAGAGTGAGTGTGGGTGAGAGTGAGTGTAGGTGAGAGAAGTGTCTGTGAGAGTGAGAGAGTGAAACTGAAGTGAGAGTGAGAGTGAGCTCCCTCACACTCCCACTCACACTCGCTCTCGCACTCACACTCACTCTCCCACTCTCACTCGCACTCGCGCACACTCACTCACTCCCACTCACACTCACTCTCACTCACACTCGCACTCCCTTGCTCACACTCACACTCCTCACACTCACACCCACTCACTCCCACTCGCAGACTCTCACTCGTTCTCACTCACACGCGCACTCACACTCACACGCACACTCACTCACCCACACTCACTCTCACCCACACTCACTCTCACTCTCACTCTCACTCACACTCGCACTCACACTCGCTCACTCTCACTCTCACCTACTCTCCCACTCTCACTCTCAAGAGTGAGCATGTGAGAGCACAAAGGACTGTGCCTGCCACGAAATCTGCACTTCGAGGTTCACCAAGCGCTGTGCCTGCCACGAAATCTGCACTTCGAGGTTCACCACACGCTGTGCTTGCCTCGAAATCTGCACCTCGAGGTTCATAAAGCGCTGTGCCTGCCACGAAATCTACACTTCGAGGTTCACCAAGCGCTGCGCCTGCCACGAAATCTGCACTTCGAGGTTCACCAAGTGCTGTGCCTG